TTATTTGAAATTTTGCATATGATTTAACAGAAGTAGAATTTTGTTAATGTTGTTATATTCCAAAAAGAGATACATAGAAATTAGTTTTTACTGCTTGCTCTCTTTGTGCATTTTTATGAATAAGCCTTTAAGTATTATCTAAAAATCAACACTAGTATAGAAAAAGAAAATCATCTTTCTAACACCTAATATTTCCCTTATTCAAATAACAGAAGATCCAAGATGCACAAACGAAGGATTGACCTCTTAAAGATTCTTGTCCAGGAATTAAATCCTCAGTATTACCTTCATGTAAGTAATTGCTTTTTTGTGTGATTGTGATATATGTAGATTGCAAATTACATTTTGATTATATTTACAAATTTTCTAGTTATTGAAAAAGTGAATTTTTCTTTTTCTTTTTCTTTTTTTTCCCAGTTCCTAGACCTGTTATTTTCATTCTTTACTCTTTTTGATAATATGCAAGCCTGATCTCCATATATAAAGGGTCTCAGTTTGGGGCCTAAGCTGTAGATCATAGGGCTTCAGTCCCAGTTAGGTCATGATATTAGAAAAATCCATTCCTACAGGTATGCAGGCAGCTGAACTATGAAATTGCAGAGACCTACTCAGCCATGATGGACAGCAAGTTGGCCCTTTTGGAGCATGGTTCAGGGACACCAACACCTGCTCAGGCCAAAAAGATTAATACCCTCGCAACCTCGAGCATACAGCACTTCCTCCACTACCTTGATTCCATGAAGGATGCTACGTGAGTTTGGGAATGGAGCAGGTGTAAACCATAGGTTTTTGCTCTTCGTCAGGGTCTCTGATGTTCCTAAGCGTTATCTTTTTCTGCTTTTTATATCTTTTGCTTTGGTTTCTTTATCTTTTTCCTACTCTGCTTTTATTTTTAAGTGTTGCAGGAATTTTGGTGATGGTCTTGGTATGAACCTCAGGTGTTCATGAGGCTGGGGTACTCTGGTTTTCATCCTCTGAATCTTTTTGCTTATATTTTGTCTTTATCTTTTAGGTTTTTTTCAATCATACAGGTCAGTTTCTTTATGTTTTCCTTTCTTGGCTTTTATTACCTTTTTTATACTTTTTCTTCTCATCTTGTTTTTCTATCCTTTTTTTCTTCTTCCCCTACGTTATACTTTATATCTTTCCCTTCACTGTTAAAGTTTTTGCCAATATTTTCAGCCCAAAATTAAGTGACTTGAATTTTGATCTTAGTATGGTAATTCAAAAGAAAATAATTAAGGGACAGAAATGGATGTGAAAAGGTAAGGGTTTACAAAGCCTTAAGAAATAGCCTTATATTTTTTCTAATGTAGTGATCTTTATTTTAAAGTTTTAACCTCTCCCTGGATGCAGAAGTGGAGAACAGCCAGAGAAGTACTCAGAGGATTCTGTAAGGCCAGCACTGATTGCTTGGTTCCACTTGGGTCGTTTATGGTCGAAGCTTGTTTCTCCGTCCCCCCAAAGCCGACTCCAGAATGTTGCCCACTCTCTCCAGAATTACAAGGTGAGGGTTACTTAAAAAAAAAAAAAAAAAAAAAAAAAAAAATCATATATGTTTGGATAACAAACAGATTTTGTTACTTTCATTTCTGTCAAATGATGTCTTGCATTCCAACTTAAAAGTTTCTATAGCAGTTGAAAATCACTAATATATTTCTATTTGGCTCAGAAAGTACAGGAGGTTTAGTGGAGCTTTATAGATAGCATTATGTTATTGGCCTATGAAAGACTTGAATATTATTAACTGCTTCATTATGGAAGTCCAGTGTTTATACCTGTGTAAATACAAATTTCTGTTGCAGAGGGTAGTTGCGTACTGTGAAAAAAATCCAGACTGTGAATCGGTTGTAGCCCAGGAATTGGCAATCTGTCGAGAAATGGTACAGCTCTTGCCTCTCAAGATGGAGCAGATCAGGGCTCAGTGTTGATAAACTACCTGACTTTTAGGAAACCAAAGAACTTTGATTTCATTTAAAATTTACAGATATGGTTGTGGTGTGAAAAGTGCATGAATGTGGTGAGAATGTTTCAAGTTGACATTCCATACTGGAGAGGTGATGAATATGTATTAGAAATTTGTTTCAGAATTAGTTGAGGTGTAAAGAAAAAACTTAAATTTTACAAAGATAGCACTTCATACTTGATCATTATGTTTTAAACTAAAGAGATATAGTCTTAACTATTAAAATTTAATGATATAAAGATTTTGATGACCATGTAATACATTGTGAGTTACAACCCATGAGAAACACTTAGCTGAGTATAGAATTTTTTCAGCATCTTTTACCCTGTATGGAAGATTAGTTGCAGAGTAGATATATGATGTGAAATATGTGATATATAATGCTTGCTGTAATTCTGTATTATCAATATACTGCTTGATTGTAATTTGATTATACTTCAACTTAAGATTTTGGGCAGATACATCTTGCTGTTTGGATAAATTGTGTAGACCTAATATGTGGTAATGCATTTTAGGAAAGAGTTGACTGTATTT